TCCCTGATTTTATCACCATAATTAATATGAAGAAAATATAAAACTTAAACGCGATTATCTATAAAGAAAACTCAAGTTTGATGTGTGTGAGTTGTTTTGATCAAGTAACTTCTATGAATCCAAGCAATCATTTCAGTGAATCTGTAATTAATGTTTGCAACTAATGTAGTCGTTGAAATTTGCGCCTTGCGTTCATATTTTTGTGACCGCCCCCGAAAAATGACTCTTTGGCTGAGAGTAAAAGAATGACCCTGTATTGACTATCATCGATGAAATAATAATAATGATAAAAATAATAATGATAGTCATTTCCGCGGCATTTCTTTAGGATGGCAATTTGTTCGTGAAGATTGATCCAAGTATGTCCAAAACTACGGATCGATACAAGTCGTTTAATATATTCACGAGTCGTCTAATGTATTCATGAGTCGTACGACCCGTGCCTCTCACTAGGGAGACTGACAGTTTTTCACCTCACACCATCGAGCCCTGATGGTGGTGCGTCGATTCGTACGAGTGGTACGATTCGTCGACCATGAATATTCATTACGGAAACCATGGAAACGAAACGAGTCGTAATGCTGTGCTGTCTATCCATGAATGTCCTTAGGGAGACTTTTTCACCAAAAAACCACCGCGCGAAGTGCACAAACGAGAACATCCTCGCACTACTAAAAGTGCCACGCAAAATGCACAAATAACGAGAGTATTCTTCGTTCTGAAAGCACCGCGTGAAGTACATAAACAACAACAGTCCATATTTAACAGGAGTCCATATTTAAAACACAGTCAACAAGACATATACTACTCTACGATCATTAAACCTATAATGCTTTACGGCAACATGATTTGAACTTCTTGCAATAAAGGTAATCTTTTGAAAGTCCGCGTCTTCAAAAACGTGCGGTTAGAATAATTCTTGATGCTAAAAGAACACCTTCTGTCGCCTTATTTAACTCCCTAAAGTGGATTCCCTTTTATGCTGAATCGTACGTAATCGATGCACTTTAACCTACAAAAGGCTGAGTGGCATATATAAATTATTTACATTACATTATTTACATTATTTACATTAATTAAATATACAAATTATTTACCAATCAGAAACTCTGACACATAATAGATCAACTCGTTTCTGTAATCTTAACTTAAGTTGCCCTCGATATAAGAGAAGTAAGGAAAGTGGTCGAGCGTTTGAAGTGCGGACCTCAAACGGAGTACTGATGTCAAAAACTTTAAGCGTTCCCTTTTTTAAAGTAATTTTAAATAATCAAATTCTTACGCAATTATTCATGTGAACATTAAAATCTGTATATAACTACATTTTATAATCTTATTTTGCGATGTACAAAGGCTTGTGTACTATCCCGTACAGGCCTTAATTTTTTTCAGGCCTTACTTTTACTACTGCTCAATTAGTGTTCATTGCTGCAAAGATCGCTTTCATACTCATGTTTTTATCCGCAGTTCAAATATATGACTTTCATATATTCACAGTTGTTAATTCATTACTTCACGGTTTTATTTGGAACCAACATAATGACTAGCTCCCAGTTGGCTTGCTAGCTTAGAATGAGCTTAACTCTTTGTTTACAAGACTTCTACGCCTTTTATCTATCGTTTTTATTTGCCTTTCGTTGATTTTTTTAACTTCACGGTTTTATTTGGAACCAACGTAATGACCAGCTCCCAGTTGGCTTGCTAGCTTAGAATGAGTTTAACCCTTTGTTTACAAGACTTCTACGCCTTTTATCTATCGTTTTTATTTGCCTTTCGTTGATTTTTTTAATAACCACCCAACAAACTATTCATAAGTGTCGAAATACACTTGTTACGTTTATCTCCACTGCCAATTATAAAGTAACAAATATGTATGGAAAAAGACACAAAAGCTATCGACCACTGACCCTTGGGAGTATTTTATATCGAATCTCGCTTTTCAGTCATGAAATATCGAGTAGTAATTATCACCACTTTTAAAAGTTGTTTAAAAAAACCGCATTTTCCGTACTTACGCTTAACGAAGACAATTCACGTTATTTTCATAATACATACCAGCTGAATTTGTTTAACATGAAATGCCTTCATATTTCATAAATATTTTGAAAAGGACATACATTGGTCGTACATCCTCTCTTCGCTTTATCATGCGTCTGCAATTATTGAATCACGAAAAGTAAAGTAACTATTCGTGGTCGTATTCTTTCAACCTTGGGAACCCGCCGAGAACCGGCTTTCTTTTTCTGAAAAATTTTTCTCCGCTTTTTGTTTTACCTTATAATGTTCTTCTAAAACTTCCCCGAGAAAACTGATCTTAAAAATTTGGAAATCCGCCATTGTTTATATCTCGGAAATTTGCGTGGATTTGTTAGCGTTGCTTTACATGACACTTCATCTTTATCAGCGATAACCTTACTGACAATAGTATTCGATCAATGAGCGCGCGGTAAATTACGTTGAAGTGATATTCTCCCACAAGAAGTGAGCGATGCAAATATTAGAGCCTCCTAGCCCTTTTTTCTGGAATTTCGTCAATTTTTGTTGACCTTTGGGAATACTTCCGGCATTAGTTATTATAGCCGCAAACGTTAGTCACTCGTATTTAAAACTTTACTAGAACAAACTTGACACATTGTTGAATACAGTAACTGAAAATGACAAAATTACAAACACGCAAATGAGCATAAAATAACTTACATCATATGAGTGAAAGTACTGGAAAACGACAAAGCGAAATAAACAAGGACACTTACAAGACGAATGTGACCAAACCAAAGACGAAAACATGAAACCCAGAGCTAGATATGTAACGATAATTTTCACAAACTAGACAACTAACCAAATAAATTACGCGCGAACAATATATATACGATATGCAAATAAATATAACAGGTACAAAACTGTTAACTGACAAAGGACGCTAATGAAGACGAAAAAATAAACACCTAACACGAAACTATGAAACACCAACACTAACAAAAAATGATAATACAAATTCTTGCGCCTACAGTTATCACTCAGAAGTCTTCAATCATTTTGTAAACTGGAAATCTTAAAAAATGCAAATTAGAAGGGTCAATATTTGTACGGAACTGAGTAAATTTCGCTTCCGAATTGCATCTATGAATTACAGGATGAACAAACTCTCACACCTGAGAACTCATTAAGCAATAAAGCAATCAGAATCACATGGAAAAAAGCTAGATTTTATCAAAATGTTTTGCTTAATAGGGTGAAAGTCGTTTCTGCACGGAACTTGCGCAAGGTGAGAGAAAAGTTTCATTATATTCTATATAGCGATTTACTGTGAAGTGAAAGCAGCATGAGCTCAATTAAAAAAAGAAAAACAATATTTATTTCCATTGTATTCTATGTAGCGATTTACTATGAAGTGAAAGCAGCAGGGGCTCAGTAAAAAAAAAACTAAATGTTTATTTATCGGGGTCGGCTTTCATTGTGAAAGTTCCTTAAGGAATTTACCTTCTGTTAATCATAATTAAAGTTAAATAGACCGCCATTGCGTGGGGGCAGGGGAATGACACTTAATCTAACGTCGAACTTCGTTTTGCTCGGAAAAGATCACAAAAATATACCTCCAGGGAGGCACTAGTCACAGTGACTTTAGGAGGCTGATTTCTAAGCCATTGCGCTCTGAAGACCCAGGATATCACTTCTGAAAGTTGTTGCGCTGCACAGTCATGCAATTGTTGCTCACTGTTTTCAAAATAGTTTTGCATCGCATCGAAATTAAGAAACCATTAAACTCGTTTAAACACATCTTTTGCGTTATTCACTTTTATTCGCTTACTAAACTATTTTTCAAAGCAGGCATTTGTGGAGTTTTATTTCTCTCGTTATTAGAGGGCTGGACAAGAGCCTCAATCCATTTCTGGTTTGATTTGTCCAAGTGAGTAAGGAAGTAGTAATATGCAGTCTAGAAGTCTAAATCTGTAGTACAAGTGACCAAACGGAAGGAAAACCAGTAACACTCTATTATCATAAGGATAAGATGAATAAGGATAAGATGATAAAAGCACAACAGGCTATTAAGAATGAAACTAACTTTTATGAAAATCATCGGTGACATTTTCAAATTTTAACATAAGCATAAGGTTTGACTTGAAAAAGCCCACCACCGAATACGTTAGCAAATTGATGAATTAATCATCATAAAACAAACAAATCAACACCGACTATTCTCTGTCCTACTGTAAAGCACAGCAGAAGTGTACTCAAGAATAAGTGGAGAAGCACCTGGCTACGTGTTTTTTTGTGCTCTACCTTTCCCTTACAACGGCGAGAAGTCAAGACTCTGTTTGTCGTTATTTGATAATTATTAAGTCTTGTGGTCGCAAAGTGAGTTCTTGCTAAGTTTTGGGTGTATCACATCGCAATAATTCAGTACAGATAAGTTGAACAGATATCTTACAAAGCCATGCATTAAATACACAACACTAGCAAATCTATACCTAAACTATTGCGTAGCGCAAGGTAAGTGTAGTATTACTTACAGAACAGTAACCCTTTATATTTTTGACTTTCGTGACAATAAAATAGAATTAAAGTGCCTCACGCAAGATAAGAGTGATTTTTTTCTCCCTACGATGTGAATATCTGCCAGTCGTCAAAATAGAAAAACGAAAATATTGTTGTTCGATTCATTTCAGAGGTATCTACAACTTGAGCCTTTGATAGTGCAAAGTAAAAACATCAGGTTGTAATGTAAGTACATTTAGGATGGAAAATAAATCCACCTGTGTTCGTTGGGAATGTAGTTCACGTCTGCCTTATGACTTCCAGACCATGCATATTCGGTTCTACGTCTTACATTTGGTGGTCGTAGAACAAAAATTGACGATGCGTAAACTTATTTAATGCACGTAAAATTGGTATTTGACGGAAAACAAAACATTTTACTTCCGACACACTTAAAATGGAAGACGTACTTTATTTCTAAGGGTATGAAACTACTCAACTGATTAAATAATCGTATTCTTTGCTATTACTGCTGTCTGTTTCAGTGACGACATAGTACTACGTGAGTTGTTCTCAGCGTGTAAGAGGGAGGAAAAGAGGAAAGAGCCTTTCTTTACCACCCTCGCTTGCCCTCAGTCCCCCTCCCCACTAACCAAGGCCAGACAAGAGATGATAGAGGAGGGAAGCAATTAAATATCTGTCCTCGATTTCTATAAGTTGATGGGTCTCATCTTCATTTCAGCTCTTTTGGCTGAGTGATGTAGGAATCCGTGCCACCGAATGCTATCAACACCAGTGTACTTTCCATGATGGTAAACACCATTTAGGCTGCTTTGGTAGCAACTTTTATACCACCAAGCTCCCTTATAGGTCACGGCACAATTGGATGAGGAAACGTCTTTTGTCATGAATGGATAACCATTATGGTAAGCCAGCGAGTCACTAGCGTTTCCTTAAAAAAAAAAATAAACACCGACGGTTTGTTCACAGCATTAGCCATTTTAGAGGTAGGGGCTTAGACATCAGGGTAGTGGATTAGAACTCAATTTTTCAAACGTGAAGCACAGGCATTTTGAAAGGATCGTAACGAAAACTTACCTGAGTAATTGTTAACGTTCAGCTGGTACTTTGTTGCGTCGTTGCCAACCGTAAAGACACTGTACTCGGCATAGGCTGTATTTCCCGACATGTCTTCCAAATCAACACGAAGCTTGTTATTACTGCTATTAGTAAGGCGGTGTATTCTGTCCAGTCCAAGCCAAAACTCCCCATTCAAGCTACCAAAGCCAGTTTTGTAGTTAGTCCAGTTGAGATAGAAATCAACAGAGCCATCCAGTCTTTTCTGGAACACAGTCCACCCCCCACCAGCTGTTGTTTGGTCACAGAAAACATTGAAGGCACCCGAACCGTCCGGGTTGATAGAGTAGACGCCACTGCTTCGTTCGCCTGAATTATACTTATCAGCACAGTTTTTAGCATCTGTAAAATAAACAATAGGGTGGAAAATTGAAATGCGAGCGAGACTTTTCCAAATTGAGTTAGTGACGACTTCAAAATGCCGTGCGTGATCAAATGATATCCACGTGAAATAAAAGCAATAGGGGAAAAAAAATCACACGTTTAAGGTTCTTGTGACCCAAAGAAAGTATTTAGAAGGTCAAGGAGGTACAACTCGGATTGTCGAACGTTATGGGAAACGTTTTTGATTTTCCTATGACAGTTCAAGAACAAGCTAGGATGAGATAAATTGGTTGGCATTTGATTCAAATAATTCCTTTTTTTTTCTTTTTTCGCCCAAGTATGTATTTAATTTCTTACTTATATTATTTAGTAAACAGATTTGTCTTTCTGTCTATTACAACGACAAAAATACACTACACTGCAAACAGTAGCACCACTTTGTTGCGGCAGTTCGCTTTGATATTTGAAAATAAATAAAGCAGCCCGCTAATAATCTTAAAATGAATCTGAAGTATAATAGATTACACTGAGACTCTTAATCGTCACATCAACTCCCGATTTGGATACTTAGGGCTTTAAGATTGCTCAGCATAAAAATGAACACGACCGGGTTTGAGATGGGTTTTAAAGAAAGTTTACCTCGCTTTGCACATGTCATTCCATTACCAGTAAATCCAGGCTTACAGGAGCAGCTATAAGAGCCAAGGGTGTTGTGGCAGTCGGCATTTATGTTACACACCCGAATAGAAGCACTACACTCATCAATATCTGTTGGCAAATTTACCAATATGGAGATGAGATTTAAATGAGCGCTAGAATTTAAATGTGAATATGAAAGCGATTTTCGCAGCAATTATCTATTTTCATAGTCACGTCTTTATCCGCAGTTCAAATATATGACTTTCATAAAGTTACAGTCGTTAAAATAGAAATGTCCTTGGTGATAATACTAACCTCGAAATATTTGTTAAAAATTATCAACTTGAAATCGAAACAGCCTAATACCATAAATTCTCTTTCGGCTTACTTCATCTTTTTGCTGAGAATATTATTGAAATTTAACTCAATGGCGTGAAATCTTCAGACCCAAATGAATGAGGAAGGGGGGGGGAGGCTAGAGTTTAATTTGCCACATACATGTATGAAAGTTATCTTCAATCTTCAGTTCGGTTCAATGAGATTTCAGACATGGCACTTGAGGATAATAAGGGCTTTTGGACCATAATAAATTACCATCTGCTTGAGGAGGTACACATTGTAAGGAGACGGTGATCGAGAAGCCAGAAATAGCATATACTGTGCCCCCCTCCTCTCTCTCTTTACCGCAAGGGTTCTCGCGTTACACTGAAGTTTATATGAATTAATGTGTCTCTTCACCTCTACAAGTTTTTCCATCACCCAGGAATCCGGCTTTGCACGAACAACTGTATGAACCCAGAGTGTTCTTGCAATCAGCGTTAGCGTCACAAACAGGGATAGAGGCATTGCATTCGTCAGCATCTACAAATAAAGGGATCATAACTTGTTTTATCAAAGTCAATAAATAAGTATGGAAAAAGACGGTTTCTTTTGTAGGTTTCACGCAAGCATTTTGTTATTGACGCAATTCATTGGATTCGAGATATCATGTCGCACAGTTCAAGGGCGACCCGTGTCCCCGCAGTTCTGAACTGCGCAACCGGCCAACATAGTATTATTCGCCTGATGACTTCTTTCATTTAACAGCATTCGTTTCAACTGCTATACGTCATTCACTATCATGCCTCCTCCCCCTTCCCCCTTTTTGTTTCTTTAAAGCCAAATCTTTAAATCTACTAAGAGTTTGACTCAAAAACGATATATTCTTTTAACAAGGCAAGGCAATGGTATAGCCCATCTGGGTACATTTATTTTGAAATGCAATCTATCGAATGTATCAATGTATCTATACGTAGTCGAAAGAAATCACAGAGGCTGTTTGACATCAATAGTACCAATGACTGTAAACATATGAAAACCATATATGTGAACTGCGGTTTAAGAAATAATTTTGAAGATTTCGCATTAATGAACACTACTTAAGGAGTAGTGAAATAAGGCCCGAAAAAAAAATCAGGCCTGCACGGGATTCGCACCCATGACCTCTGCTATACCAGTGCAATACCCCAGTTGGCTTGTTAGCTCAGTTGGTAGAGCGTTGCCCCGGAGTCGCACAGGTCATGGATTCAAATCCCGTACAAACCTGTTTTTTTTAGGCCCTAATTTCACTACTGTTAAGTAGTGAAAGTAGTTTGAAGATCGCTTTCAAATTCATTGGCATCATTATTGATCAATAAAATTACCTTCGATCTTCATGTCACAGTGAAGTAGAACTGCTCTCTTAATGAGATTCACCCAGTAATAACCACTGACCGCTTGTCCACCTTCACTGGCCTTGATTTCCTTGCACGAGCCTGCAGGAAGCTCTGGAATGGCACCGAGGATGACTGTAAATTGGAAGAGAGAAAGACTCTATTTTGTTTCCGTACTGGGTAACTGGTAACCTTTATTATTTTGATCCGAAGGCTTACCTCTATTCATGTCTCGTCTAAAGTAATATCTCTCAGAGTTGGGCACAAAATCTTCAGGTCTGGCTTCCTTTGTACGATTACTCAGCTCACACTTATCTTGGGTGAAGACATAGTTAAAGCTTTGGCATCTGATGTCATGATAACATTCCCGTAAACACTCATCGCCGAATGCAGCTCTGGTGATTGTTTTAAAGATGTGATTTTGTAACATCATCCCAAAGATGGAGTCTTCGCGAGTATCACGGTGGTACTGTGTAAATACTGAATGAAACAATACCAACAGGGAGAGGACAACTGGCAAATGAAAGAACCCTTGGACCACCATCGTGGTTTTTTCCTAACTGAAATGAAAATCGGAATTTAATGCTGCACGTATCTATACTTATGTAGCCATCCACAGAAAAACAGGGAGCATGTAATTATAGGAGCACGCGGGTTATAACACGATACGTGCAACGGGGCATGTAGTTCATGAACAAAGCAGAGAGGCATGGTGAATTTTGTTTGGCTTTGTTCCAAGCAGTCTTACAAACGGGACCCCGTGAAACGTGCTATATAACACGCATGCAAAAAGACCTAATGCGCAAGCGTGTGTGTGCGATGTGGTACGATCTGGTGCGGGTCGATAAGACACGGCTGCTAAAATAGTACTAAAGTGCGTTTGTCAGGGGTTCTAAATTGCGTCAGGAAGCTCCATAAATGCAATTACTGAATAGCACCCCTATGCAAGAGAGAATTATAGAGCACGACAGCTATATCTGAATCTCTGTGGGAGACACAGAGCGCTACCGTTTCAAAGCATACCCATAACACCGAAAGCCACTCACTCTGGAACGAAATAAAAATTTATTGATCGTAAGCCCTGTTATTCGTCACTTGCAAGGTAAAAACACGAGCCGCAGCTAAGTTTGTCACTGATGCTCTTATTTCATTTTGACGTCTTCTTACTTTTCGCGCGAGTTCAGCGTGACTTTATTTGCTGGTTTTTTTTTCGTTCAAACACAGCCTGGACTGAAACAAAAGTTAAAAAGTTAAGTTAAAGTTAAGTTAAAACCTAATAGGCGGGGCATTTTCAGTCTAATCTTAAGTCATTTTGATTACAAAAGGGAACATCTTTTTGTAAACCAATAAAAAAGCAAAAAAAACAGGCGCTTGAGTTGGGGAATTAAGTTCTGAGTCTTCGAGGAGAAACTGTGGCTCATTTTGAGTCATTTTAACTTATATCCCTAACCTTCGTGTCTTACGATCTCCTCGACACCATTTTCATATTTAGAGGTACATGTATCAACCACGATGATAAACCGAACGTTTTCGATCATATTTAAACTGATAATCTGTTGCCATATTTAAACTCGACTTCAAATATGATTTTACCATAGATTCAAATTATAAGTGGCTAATAATGATGACTTAAAGATCTTACTTTCCAAATACTTTTCTTTTGTTTTTGATCCAAATACAACTTTCCCACAAAATTACAACAAATATTTTTTTGCCAACTTGAAAATGCATTTCCTACGCTTGGCAGCGCTGAAGATTTCCATTAAGAATGGAACTGTTAGTTAAAATGTATCTCATCGAACAACTTCTCTTATGCTAGAGACTCACCTGAGGGAGTATCACAGAATTCCTTTCCTTTCAAGATCAATACAAAGACCTTCCGTTGGAAACGTAATGGTCGTTTAAACCCAGCCTTCGCTGAGATAAGAACCTTCTAAAGGCTGATACCTGCTAAAATGATGCAGCATGGCAACACGATACCCTATTTTAAAACCTCCCTTAAAATGCCACCCGAAGATTTACTTTGTAAATTAATCTGAGTTGAATATCTGTTTTGGCGGGGAGTCAAAACATTATATCCTTGTCATAACGTAAAAAAAGAAATTAAATTTTTAATATTCCTATAAAAATCTCAGAATTCGTTCGCCTCTAAAAACTCGTTCCTTTCCATCTTCCATGAAAACACAGTTCATATCATAAAGGAGCTAGTATAAGGAGAAAGTCAAACTGGGTGCGCGTGAAATGTATCTAAGACAGGTTATGACGTCAGCGAATGATGTTTTGAGGCTATTTGTTTGAAGATTTGAGTAAACAACGGTGCTGTTAATTCTGGGTCTCCAATGAGAATTAAAAGTAAGAAAGATATCGTTTCATCCAGAATTACACCCTGTAACTGTGGTGTTTTTGGGACCCTGGCCGCCCTGTTATGTTAAGAATCATTTGTATATATTGAGTGGATACGATTATACAAATGAAGAATACTCCTTAATTGCAATTAAACACAACAGTTTACGACTTTTAATGTTAAAGAAAGTGTTTTTCTTTCCAGAAACAATTTTTCCTACAACTTGGCTAGAAAATGCATTTTGTAGCCAATTCAGCATCGAAATTCAAAAATTGAAAATTTAAACATACGTTTTGAACAAGGAAAATTGCTTGTATGTTTGTGTCATTAATTATTCAGCGCTTTTAGCCAATGGTTTTTTATCATTATTACCTATTTTGAAAATCTGAAGTTTACAGAGAGGTTAAGAGGAAAAGACAAAAGTTGATGATTGTTCAGGTCTACAGGATGTTCACGAGGGTGAACTTATAGGGAAAGTTCGGTTTGCCGAGGAATTGTTGCAAGCATGTTAGTTTATGAATAACTTTATATTCCTTTAATAAAGGAACAGGATAATTTTCTGGAACAGTACTGTAAAATTTTGGTGGAAGAATAATCTATCATAAACTATACCTTCTCCTTACCCTCTGTTTTGCGCGCAAATTTCGCACCTTTGAGATTAAACTGCCTTAAATTATCATAACAAAGCACTTAGAAGGAAAAAAAACAAGTTGTTTCTTTTGTTGAAAATGAGTGACTTTGCGGCATAAATTATTTTGTGACTAAGACTTAATTTCGGCTATTCCCGTCTCGATCTCCTGTCAACTGATTGTGATGTCATCCGTCAGCAGACAGGTAACTAGTTCGTTGTTTTTTCGTCACTTTCAAATTGATTGAGTTGACCATAAAGAACTTGAACGTTCATTTAAAACAAAGGTAGAAAAAGAAGATTGTGAGAAGCACGCACTTTTTTATCATAGACACGACTGAATTAAACTCTTTCAAGTCAACTCCTTATTACAAAGGTAAATGCTAAATTTTGCTTTCAGCAATTGAATTCGTTTATTTGATACATGTATAGTGAGGGCACAATTCCTTGCTGAGTCTCTGATCCGTAAAGTCTTATTGATGTTTGTTGAATGACTTAGAATTATTTCGCAACAAAAAATGTATTGGAAAGTTTTAAGTCAGTTAGCCATGACTGGCTTTATGGTTATTGAGCTGACTCTCTCGACTGATATTAGTGTGATAAAATATAAACCAATAGTTTCACTAGCAACCCATGTGGCTTTTTCAGTGTTGGTAAAAGGTATCTCAGATGTATGGGTCTCCTCTCCACTAATGGAAGATCAGTGGGTGAACTGAGAAATTAAACTGAATATGAGGGTGGGAAGGTGTAAATAAAAAATAAAATCGGCGAGGATGAAAATGCAAAATTGTCCTCAGCACCCAATGATTTACTAGATCACCGAAAACAAAAACACAAGCTAAAAATGTCGGGTTTGAAAAACAATATCCATTCGCGCGAAATGGCCACTTGAAATGTGGACAGGTGAAAATCATTTATTGTTCACACACCAGATTTAATTTAGCAGGATGCTAATTGTCGATGCTTCATTTATTCTCACTGTTACGCAACAAAAGTTACCTCGCATATAAACACTACATAAATAGAGAACGTGATTATTTTCTTTACATCTTAAGAAAATGCACCTCGGTCATACATGAAAATAATCAATCCTAGTGATCTCCCCATTAACAAAAGACAAAGGAGAAAGTTAAAATATTCCAATTCCTTTTCGCACAGCACTGACAACATCTCTTATTTTGCAATTGTTCCGCTATTTCTCTTTGTCAGAAATTATTATGTCATTCCTTTCTCAAGTGCTACATCTTAAAAGAAAACTCCATTCAGGGAATGTAGACGTCCAGTGTGCACACATGACCTGTATACTTTGATTGTTTGTTGACTCTTTTCTTGTGCCACGCACGTGTGCTTAGGAAGTGCGGATGGTAAACGCGTTTAGGTCTCTGACAAGGCACGCATTGTTCTCATCGTTGAACAGAGGTAAACAAAGAGGCAGACATCTGAGCCATGCGCTGGCTTGAGACATTCCATACTCATAGTCCCTCCTTTCTCCTCTGCTGATCATTCCGGAAAATGAAAAGAGATGCTTTGAAGGAACCTGATAAGTTTCTCGTGGCATTCCATCCGGGAGGAGGAACAGTAACCCATGTTACTAAATCCTATAGAAATGGGGATGACTTTTTTTTACGGGAGCGCAGGTCAAGTCACCTGTAGTCAGGTTTTCAGGATACCACTGACGTTTACTGAGCGTGGTAGAATGTGGTGGTGTATTCCAATTGATTGTCTTAGGATGTTTCATCTTATCATAAACCAGATCCATGTGACTGACCTTGGAATCCTTTCACAAGTTATGGTAGCGAGTAATTGGGAATTTTGGGGGCTCTTCTTCTGATTACTATGCAACAAGAATGTGACTTAGGTGGTGCAGGTAATAGCACAGCCAATGTGGTCCCTATGGAATTTGCAAGGGATGGTTATCAAGTTCCTCTGTTGGTAACCGTTACGTAACTGATTATTTGACTTTAAATGGTGACAGCATTCTCTGCCTCTAGACATTTGGCAAGTTATTTAGCGGCACTATTTTTTGTGTCTAACGGATTAATTACCTGTAAATGTCTCGTGGGCTGCCTTTTTATCGAGAGCAGCACTGCCGGCTGAAGTATGTTTCTTATGGTGCTGCAAGTACTGATGGGTGCGGCTCCTGTCCCTGCGTTCCTAGTTTAGATGAATTTTGATAATATGGCTTTAAATTCTCTTTTCCAGAATATATCGGCACTCAAAACTTGTATTGCTGAACTGAATTGGACTAATTCTCCAAATACATGTCAGAGCCATTTTGGTGTCAATTTGTCAGTCTCACTGCCAACTTGGAAGAAAAATAAGTGAGAAACTTCTGGGATGAGGTGGTTTGTAACACACTGAGGAACCTCTCTGGGAACAAGTTTCTTTTGGAGGGGTTAAGCTGTGCCTGAATCTTACAGGCTAAAAGGAAAATGAAGGAGTACTGCAAATGAGTCTCTGAGTCATGAGGTTTTAGGAAATTGTTGGTGATTGCAATATAGTGGACTATTCCAATAACATGATTTGCAATTCAGGTGACATTTTTAAAGAAAACATGACAATTTTTATTTACCCTACATGTTTACCTTACATGTCTCAAGCAGGAGATCCTCAGATATGAAGCTTTTCCACAGTAGATCTACAAGTTATATTTCCCCCTGCATGCATAATGTTTTAAATAGTTTATAAATAATATTGGAATTGTAATATAGCATGTTTTATTTTATTTTAGCTTATTTTCTTGAAGATATTAGCTCTACAGCTACACTGTGAATTTCAAGCATAAATAAAGTATATGTATGTATGTATGTTTAAAATAATTTATGCTGGCTGTTCAGATTCACACAAGCTGATGATAAGTTTAACATTCTGAGTTTTAGCTCACCACTTTAGATCCTCAGACTTCTACTAGCCAAGATGAAGATGAGTTTTAAATCTTTAGCTCTCATGAATGACCAAGACAGAATTTCTCCTCAAAATATCAAAACAATATCAAGCAGACAAGTAGTGAAAATAAAGGAAAATATCAATTTGGAACTTATTAGTCCATGCTATCAAAAGAATTGTACAGTAGACAGTAAAGAGAACTGCTAATGAGATCTTGGGAGTGAAAGAGTTAAATAGCATTGCCATAAGAATGCACTGCTTTGTTTTGTGATGCAATTGATGGGGATGATATTGTAAATCAAAGTTCCTTTGTACTGTCCCTCTGGTCAGTAGGATCTTGGATAGCTTAGAAAATACTATCAGCCAGAAGAACAGGTTGTGGACAAACTCAGCTTAGCTTAAGTATATTCACAGATTTGGTAATATAAGAGTTCCACACATTCCTGTTAGACTAACAATTCCTTAGAATCACCCTAAAAGAAAATTTTAATTCTCTCCTGTCTCAACCCTCTACACACTTGCCTTATCATGCATATCCAACATATGTTCTCTTGACATATTCTAATGTGCAGACAATGAAAATTTGTGTAACAATTAAGAGCTTCCTTGGTAATGTGTACTTCAGGGGTAATATTGTAAAGAGAAACTAGATGCTAGTCACTCTTAGGGGTCAAAGGGTTAACTCTACAGGCTGGAGAAACAGCTTAGTACTTAGGAGCAAGGCTGTGCATTTACCCTTTGATATATAGGAATTGTGCACATTTTTCTTTCATCTTCCATCACAATTAAAAGAAGCTCTTGATTGTTAAACACATTCTTCTTGCCTTAAGAAATGTATGGAGAACAGTGAGAGAATATGTATACTGGTACTAAGATGAAAGGGGTTTCAGTAATGTTTAGTCTTGTCAACATTATTTTCAATCATAAGAAAACATCATGGTGATACTGTTCCTTTCAAAGAATTTCTGTCCAGGCTTAAGCAGAATACATGTCAGATTTCAGTACAACTGGCTGAGGTGTTAAAGTTTACAAAGCCTTTTAGATTCACGTCATTTTAAAGATTATTATGGATGATACCCATAAAGATGAGTTTCTGGAAATTTCTTGAATACCTGGTCATGCTGACATGCATGCTATGGAACTTTCTAGAAATATTCAACTAGGCCATATAAATCATGATGTAATACTACCAAAATAGTTGTGTTGAAAGCTTTGAGAATGTTCTAGAATACTTTGTAAATGTATATAAGGATTAAGTCATGTACTAGTTGTAGAGTTTGTGGTTGTCAACTGCTTGGAAAGCCATACTGACAGAGAGTTACTGTGCAAGATTGTTCATTCAAGAAACTTTGGAGAAAACTGTGAGTTTCTGTTAGTGGTGAGCTGGGATAGAGACTGTAGAGTGCTTAAACAAGTTTATTAACCCTTTAACTCCCAGATCAAATTTGTAATTCTCCCTACTGTCAACCATACAATTCTTATAATGTTAGTTCAAAGAATTTAACATTGTATAAACTAATTATCCCCAAACTGATATTTTCATCACTTATTTGGTTGATACTCAATTGATATTGTCCGGAGAAACTCTGTCTTGGTCACTCATGGGAGTTAAAGGGTTAAGGATAATTACTGTACAGCTTTAGGAATTGCTGCTTAGTTAAAATATTACAAGTTGGTTTGAAGTAGTTGGGTTTGAATGAGTATTGTGTTCTTTCTGCCAGATAACTTATACTGTAACAAGATGTTTAATTTTTAGTAGTAAAGAGATCTCCAAAAAAAGAAAGTACAAATCAAAGTTATGTGATACCTTTTTGAGCCAAAGCTCATTTTCAAATACAAAATATAAAAACTTTCTCATCATACAATTGTATTTTCTGAGCTAACAAGGATCATATTGATCTTAGTAACAAGACCACAGAGCATGAAAGTATTCCTGAAAAGTTATTCCAATGAAGAGGTAAACAAGAGGCAGATGTAGAAAAGTATCCCATTAATCAAACTGTAAATGAAAGTAAGCTAAGGCCAGGTAGAATAAAAGGTATCCTTCCAACCGGTGATTTTCAAAGAGGCTAGCAAAGGGTTTATACATTATGCATGATTAAGGCCAAAATAAAAATGTAAAGCATGAATTTCATAGAAAAGTAAGTGTAATTACTTAATGCATTTATGAACCAGCATAAGGTGTCATCTGCCTCCTGAAATATACATGACTTGGAAACCTTTTCTGTCATTTCCACAAGATTCCCTGAAAACTTTTACAGAAGAAAAGAGATTTGAAGATTTTTCTCTTACGTGTGTGAAACCCAAAGTTTCCTTATACTTGTGCAAGAAAGAGGATCAGGACCACCCCTCCCCCCCTTTTAAGATTCTATTGACCAAGGCCCAGTTGTTCAAAGGCTAGTTCTTAGGTTAAGTTTAAAGTTTAACATGGGTTTCTATATTCCTTTGTTCAGAAGCCTTTTTGGAATAATTTTCTCTATCCTATTTAGAACATCCAGTTAATCACATTCTAGTCAGAAAGAATGACACTTAATTTTTTATCTAAAGCTTTGAGATCTAAAATCAGATTTCATAATGGTCCCAAGTTGACATAGAGGAATAAGATCACAACTGAGTATCAAAATTTTTGTGTAAAACAGTTCCAACTGACTTTTGGATAGGAGAGAATTGCAGAAAAGTTTTCTATCAATCAAATGGTTGGTAAAATCGGGCTAAGCTGGCTTTACATATTAGCTGTCCCTCTGGCTGTTAGTATTTGGAAACCCTCCCTCTCCCATAAGTGATCAATCTTTAACCTCTCCCTACAATATTCATTCATTATCCAGCCAGTAGGTAATGAGAATACTCAAAGTTATCCGGCAGAAGTTGTTTTCTTGATCTAACATCAATTTCTTGTAACTTATTAATGAGGAAATGAGCAGGATTAAGAAGGGAGAATTATCGATCAGATCTCGCGAGTTAAAAGGTTAGCTATCCGAGATTCTATGACCCGACTAAGGAACCTTTGATTTAGAGGATCTCTCGAATCAAATGCAGAACAAAACATACATTCTTGTGGCAAAACTATTTAAGATTACATTTTACCTTCGCCATCGTAGGTCTCTCAACTGTATTCTTTACATTTGAGGTGACTAAACATGTTGGTGTCTAATTCTAGAACGTTGACTGTTGGTAAATGGACTTTTGTAATAGCCGACAATTTCCGAAAACCATCCGACTCGGAAACTTGTCAATAGTACTCCTCGACTGTTCGCTCGGTTTTACTACTAACCAATAGGATTGACAACGAATGATTCTCGGAAACTCGTTTCTAGTACTCCTCGGTTACAATTCTGGCAATGCGCACAATGCGAGGTCGCAGTCGATTTCGAAGCAGGCTCATCAACTGGGGGCTGTCCTGGGACACGGGGGAATTCCTATTGTTTTCATATCCATACATGGAGTTGTGACGCATTCGTTAATGTTTCGTTCCTTTGTGTACCGGTACACGAGGACACAACCCATCAACTGGGCAAACTTAACTGAGGCGTACGCCGAATTTTCCCAGTTGACGGATTTGCTGCTTCCCATCTACTACAACTTTTTAAAAGCTGTTTTTTTTCGAGTGAATGGTTAACACTCATGAAACCGAAGACCTGGTAGTATTTTTGCCCTTCGTCGTGGACCTCGTTGAGCAGTCCAGCTCTCGTGGTTTAACACATGGCTTGAACACACACTTGCAAAACAAGGTCCGAGCGCCGTGAAGTAAACTTTTCAACGTTGGTCTTACAGATAAACTCCTTACATCAAAAAGACGTAGAAAACATGGAACACAGATACACTGAACACGAGGAGGATAAGGTACGTTAAACGTTCGTTCAAATGAAGCTCAAATTCCTTTAAGCTAAATTGGTCACATTCCTGCTTGTACACACTTTGCTGCATTAAACGCGAACACGAGATGAACGCAAAGAGCGAAGGAGCATAAATAGGTTTAAATGCGATACCTCTGGTTAAAGACACAGATAAAACTTAACATTGATTTTATGGTTTCACAACTCTCCTGGAAAAAAAAATCCAGAATTTGGGAGTTCACGTTGTATGGAAATTGTAATGAATAATTCATTAACTTTATTTTGCGACAAGTTTTCCTTCGTAACTCGCGCACATCAAGATTTTCTTTCCTATTTTATTGTTGTTGGGGAAAATGTAACTTGCGTCATGAACTTCGAATTGACTAAAATACATGTACGAAAACGGAAAAAAAACAAAAAAGTATTTCGGAAAAAGCGTTCGCGCAAAGGTATGGTTTACCAGTGGTTGTGATAGTGGTAATTAAACTGAAATAGCTGGTGTAAAACAAGTTTGTCTTCACAGAGATGTGAAAAGTAGATTTTAAAGGTGTTGTTTTTATACAGTGGCAAGGAAACAATGAATTTAAAAAAATGAAAATTAAACAAATAATTACAAAACAAAAATATGCTTACGATCACCGGGTTTTCCTGTGATCTTTGTTCATGTCTCACATGGTTCAAACTCCATGTGTGGCATGCTGGTTTCTTAATTTCTCTTCCCCTACTAGAAACTGCTGAAGCCATGGATGTCTTTTCTTCTTGTGTGGTGTTTACACTTGGCTTGGTATACACTGGTTCTTTCATAGTAGTAGTGGTGGTTGGGTTTGGCTGCAGAGTTTCTGGACCTTCAAAATCAAG